ATGACATGAATCTCGAGACAATATATTGAGCAATAAATATTTAAATCTTGATAAAAAATCATCCAGAGCTCTGATTTCAGTAAACTTATAATCAAACTGACCGGCTCGACGAGAACGACACAATGATATCAATGTTAGTCTAATCTGAGTCAAATCAAGCCCAGATCAAGCGATTAACTTATTTTTGGAAGATTTTCGGACACATTTGAAATATCAAACAAATGTCGAATTCAACGAGTTTGTAGTCGAATCGAGCGTCTCGACAAGACGAGTTCAACGAGCACAAAATTGCTCAATTTCGACATCGTTAAGACACTCAAATGTCCATCAAACGCCATCCAATCGAGAGAAGCTCTTCAGACTGTCCGATCAAAATGGTTCATATTACTGCATTAATTGCACCTAGAACACTATAAATAGAGTCTCACCCCTCACATGAGAGGAGGGGGCTTAAGAGAGAACTTGAAGCTTTGATAAGGAGCTCAATTCCAAGATCATCTCTGTCATCGTCAATCGTCGTCGACCACCGCCGGCCACCATTGATAGCCGTTGATCACCGCTGACCTCCGACGACCACCGCCGACCGTCATCGACTTTTGTCAGCCACTGCTGACCTCCATCGACCATCACTGACCGTCATCAATTGTCGTCAACTACCGTCAATCACAGCCGACCTCCGTCGACCACCGCTGACTAGACGTCATCAGTCAACGTTGTAACTTTGAGAAAACTAGTAACCCTTTTCTCGCCTATGGGACAAGGGGCATCTGTAATCATCAACTTATAGTGAATTTTTACAAATGGGTCAGACCCTATGGTTTTTCCCCTTTATGGGTTTTCCACGTAAAAACTTATGGTGTCATCACAGTTAGATTCATTTTCATCTGAGTGCATGTTGAATCCTCGTGCAACGCTAAAAGATAATCCACTACTCTACTGCCCAAAGATCAAGAAGCATGACATACTCACCGTTTGAATCAAGTTGAACAAGAGGTGTATGGACAACTTCTTTCTATCCTCAAATTAATTAAAAGGATGAACCTCCATCATTTCATTTAGATCTAGAGAAATTTATCCCAATGGACAAATCTCATAAGAAGACAACATCACCCCATTACATGGGGCAGTCTTTCTCTCTACACTCACAATCATATGTAACTCCATCAAAGATCTGAAGAGAGATTGTGAGAAGTACTCCCCCCCACAGCTTTCCATGCCTATAACGCCTAATTTTTTTTCGAGCTTCCTCGTCTACATATCTAAGCTCTTTCCACCTATATTGACAAAGTATGGAATACAACCATGACATAAAAATATTCATCCCTTCGATAATGCTCTATTGCATCACATAACACTAAATAATAAAATATCTCCAAAATCGTAGTAAGATATTATCTTCTTCAAAATGGGAACTTACGACCTCTCTGACCTTAAAGAGAGTACGCCCTTTAACTTTGTGGACCACCACAGTCAATGCCATATTCTAATGTGAACTCTCATTTTTTTGGACAACATAATGATGTTATAATGGACATTTAGGACATACATATCTTAATTTGGGACATACACGATACAATGATTATTCTCTGACAAAAATACAATCAAGGAAGTTCTAACACTTAATTTGATCATCCTAAACCTTTTTCCAAACTCATCCAAGTTCACCCAAAAATAAACAAACCTTCCTTATAATAAGGTTCTAGACCAACATGTCCCATCATGCAAAACCAAGTATTCATAAATGAACGCTTATGCAGAAGAGCTGAGGCTCTCAAGGATAAAAATTGATCGCACTTATCCAAAAGCTCAGGAGACTACTCCCTGCACATATATAACACAAAATAACCATAGGAGAAGGTGAATTCTAGCTCAGGGATGATGTACGATGGTCTAAATCCTCACAGATACAATCAAAGTGCCTCCATGTCAAAGAAAATCTTGTTATAAATCATATTGTGTTCTTGTCTAAACGAATATTCTTATACTGAGTTGAAATGCATGATAACAAACAAATATTTTGATAAAACCTGTGAAATGGAGAATTTTCATTCTCTCATTTTTTTTTAACAGTCTGATACACCAAAAATATATGAATTTTTAGACCATATTTTATACTCATTTTTGGTGATATTGCACTTTAATGGAAGATATTTTTTATGTTTTATTACAAGTTGTTAATTTTTAGGACTTTGAGCAAAAATGATGAAATTTGGAGTCAAAATGAAGATTTTGAAAAATTGTTCAGCGCAAATGGCGCCAGACTGGGTGCTGACGGCGCCGTTTGACAGAGAACACAAATTTAATTAGATGGTCACTGGCGTTGACGGCGTCATAATCGGCACCAACGGCGCCAGTGTTGGTTTAGACCCTGTTTCTAAAAGATTTGACAAATTTGGACGCGGCGCCAGTGTCGGTGCAGACCTTTTTTCTAAAAGATTTGACGAATTTGGACGCTTTTTGAAGAGTTATTGGATGCACCTATTGAAGAACCGACCCTAGGCTCTATTTAGAGCCGAAATTGATTAAAAAAGGCATCCCCCTTTGCATCTCTTTGAGTCCTCCTTGCCACTTTACATCATTCCACACCATTAATCATTTATTTTCTTTATAGTTTTGAGTTTTTATGGTGAGTTTAAGTGTGAATTACTCTCTAAGAAGTGTTGGAGAGGGAGAGAAGTGAGAGATTTCTTCTTTCAACATTTTCTAAGAGAGGCTACAAAAGATTTGCTTTGAGAAATAATTTCAGATAAGTGTTGTTTGTTTATTATTGTTGTATAAACTTTCCTTTATATATGAAATTTGTGTTTTGTTGTATATTTCTCATGAAGTCTGAGTAGTGTCCTTTATCTTTCTCCATACTCCGAGATATGGTGAATTGAAGAAATAATTTGGATGTGTAAATGATAAAATATAAAATAAATTGTGATGGTTTTTTAACTTCGCTCTTAATTTACTTTTCGATCTGGTCAATTAAATTGTTAAAATATTTTGTGAAACATATGATCCGGGAAATGAAGTATAAGTTCTACAACAAAGTGAGAATCACATTTAAATCCATAAAGGAGGATTTCGTTCATGGAATTAAATGCAAATAAATAGGGAAATATACATTGTCGGGTGTAAAATTGGAGATTTCTAGGGTGACAGACTAAAAATCCCCAATTTGATCTTAGTGTTTAAAAGTTAAAGCAAGAGTTAGCCTTCAGGGGAAGGGAAGGAGCTCTGGAGTGGGAGCCAATATCCTCCTAGCTTAGCCACATATATATGGACTAAACCTAAGATTAGTCAATGATTTTCTATAACACCGAATCAGGGTAGAGAATTAAAATTGCTCATATTTGACACAATGCAAATTTAGACCATTTATCTCATCTCATTTCACCAAAAAACTCATTGTAGTGGAAAAAATGTTTTTTCATATAATAAAACTTCATCACATAAATATAGTTTAGTAGTTACTATTTTAAACTTTGCATTTAAATTTTGCTAGTTGTTAATAATTTAGTTTTGATAGTATATCAAACATTCGAAATTAGTGACAATAATTTCGTTTTAATTTTGTGAACTTCCCAGTTAATTTATCATCTCAAATTTAAACATTCATCATGGGATCGATATTTGAGACTTATATTACTTAATAATAATACATATATTTGCGTAGAATTTCAACATTAAATACTTAACATTATTATTCATAAAAATACATCAAATTTTTTGCACTATTATAAAGCGGAGTCAACTTTATAAATTTTACACAACTATATTTCACCGGGATCACAGTCCCTAGTAAAAATGATAAGAGAATCTAGGAACAAAATGCATACTCAAATACAACTGTATACCCAGCTTCAGTGGCCTAAGCCCAAAGATCAAGTTATTCTTGAGTTAAGCTCACCTGTCGAAGTAGACAAATTGAGCTCACCTACCTAAGCGCTTAAATTGAGCCTACTAATCGAAGCGATCGAACTGAGCCCATCTGCCTAAGCAGTCGAGCTGAGCCCACCTGTTGATGCGGTCAAGCTGAGCCCACCTGTCGAAGTGACTGAATTAACCTGAACCACCAAGAAAGATATCATTACAGATAAGGACAAATGACAATGCTCTTACGATGCCGTCTGACATCCATATCTTAATTTTTTCACCAAGACACTATGGATAGGTGCTATATCATACAAAATCTAATTATATATATATTTTCTCTCATATTTGAAAGGAGGTTAGAGGGGCTCTTAAGAGACTATTTTTATGGGAGATGACCTCCAAAAGGATTTTTCTCTCCCTCTTTCTTTATCTCTATCTCTCGCTATGAGAAAAACAAAGGTCATTTCATCACCTTCCTTTACACATTTCTATTAAAAATATGTCTTTTCTGGGTTGTATGAACTCACGAGCAACCTACTCCTATGTCTTAAAAATGATTTAACAAGTTACTATTTACAAATTAAGCATACTCAATTCATTCATTTTTCAAATTCTCACTAAAATATAAAAAATTATGATAACATTTCAACCTATTTTTATACATTCTCAGTGGTTTGAAAGTGATACACATACATACATTAATTTGATTTTTCAGAAGTACACGCGTGTGCTTAATTTGCAAAAAGCAATGTTTCGAGTAATGTTTCAGATGCTTTATATGTAATTATTTGCAAAAGCTTTGTAATGAAATTTTAGAAGATCTGTTTCTTAAAGAAATTTGGAATTCGAATGACCGAACCCCTTTATCAGCTCTTTGATGCACCCAAGAAATTATTTTATACGAAGTACATACGCAGTTCTACGTGCGGACTCCAACAATATGCCGAACCGCATAGGTTATTGGAGTGGAACCTCAAAGGTCATTTGAGAGGTTATTGAGACATTACTGAGAAATTATTTGGGCATTAACTCCAACAAAAACACAATGAGCCCTAAAAAATCTAGTTCCACTCCTACAATCCCCAACAACTTTCAATTCAATTTCAATAACCCCTTAAATTAACCTCGGAGGACTCCTTATGGAAAACATTTCCCCGGCGCACCCGGCGCACCCGGCGTTCGTCTAAAGCGAAAAAACAACCGACGAGAAAAAACGCTTCACCTCATCAGTGAGCCTTCATCTTACTCATTTCCCAAAACTGAACATTTTTCTTCTTAGAATCCGTCGAGAAACAGGAATAATAAGCAGCACAAAAAGCACTCGAGTGCCTTAATGGCCGTCTTGGCTACCTTCTCTCTCCCCATTACCAGCCTAACACCAAGTGTCAAGAGGTCTATCTTTCACCCTCCGCTCTACCCTCCTCTTCTTCACCTATACCATATCCCTTTGTTTCATTACCTCTCTTGCAGGTTTCATCTCTCGCCGCCGGCGAGGCTCTCCTCATCGAATCAGTTCTCACATCGGCGAATCGTTCGTCGGTTACAGAACCGCCGCCGGAGTTTCGTCTGGTAATGGGTTTTACATGTCTTCATTCACGTTACTAGGGTTCTTATATTCCCTTTCAGTTAAATTTGGAGCATTCCAACGCATCATTGTGTCATTTCTGTTGAGAAATTTAGCCGATGGCATCAGGTCGATGTTCACCGACGAGGAACAGGGGACGGTGGTTCCGGCGTCGGTGCCGGTTCGTGTAGCCTATGAGCTCCTGCAGGCGGGACATCGTTATCTGGATGTCAGGTATTTCAGACCAAATTTGTTGTCTTATTCTTTTTTCTATTTATTTATTCTTATCCTTATCCTTATTATTAAAAATGGAGTTTGTGAAACTTTCACCTTATCCAGAACGGTTGATGAATTCAAAGCGGGTCATGTGGTGGGGGCAACGAACATTCCTTTTATGTTAAAGTCTGGATCAGGTATTTTTGTTTACTTCTGCATGCGGCATACCTTGTTCAAATAAAATCTACCTTTTATGTTTGAACTCAAAGAGCAATATGCATGATTCAAACTCATAATCTCAAAGCGAGAAACTAAAATCTTTATCACTATATCACAGAAAAGTGTGCATTAATAAAATTTTTAGAAAAAAAAAAAAACAATTATTATAAGGGAATTATACATAATATCATACAATTCTTTTGTATTTACATACCTGACACTCAAAGTTTAATATTTACATTTAGAGCATTTTATGTTATAAACTTATACAAGAAAATGTGTATTTCATTTCTAAAAAGTTCGTTGTACACCAAAAATATGTCAATACGAATCTCGAAACAATCAAACGGTCCATATCAAAATATACTTGATAAGGATCCCCTTTGACAAATAGCTATCAAACGGTCCATATCAAAATATACTTAATAAGGATCCCCTTTAACAAAAAGCTACAAGGTCTCATGAATCCGACCAATCGAAGGATACCCAGGCGACTGATACCAAGTCTAGACAACTGATAGCCAATCCAACCGACTAATAGCCAGCACAAGGGGGGTGGAATTGGAGTTCAAAGAGCAATATGCACAATTCGAACTCATGACATCAAAGCGAGAAACTAAATCCTTAATCACTATATCACAGATAAGCGTGCATTAATAAAATTTTTATAAAAAAACAAAAAAAAATCAATTATTTTGAGGGAATTATACATAATATAATACAATTCTTTTGTATTCACATACCTAACATCTAAAATTTAATATTTACATTCAGAGCATTTTATCTTATAAACTTATACATTAAAATGTGTATGTCACTTCTAGAAAGTTAATTGTACACAAAAAATGTGTCAATATGAATATCAAAACAATCAAACGGTCCATATTAAAATATAGTTGATGAGGATCCCCTTTGATAAAAAGTTACAAGGTCTCATGAATCCAGCCAACCGAAGGCCACCCAGACAACTGATACCAAGTCTAGGCAATTGATAGCCAATCCGACCGACTGATAGCCAACACAACAGACCAAAGGTCAGTCAGACGACAAAAGGGCCACCCAGGCCTACAAGGGGCAGACATCCACGGCAACAACCGAAAAATGGTCAAATATCTTCAACAACGTAACAAACATCAGTGTAAAGCTCTCTCGACGGTCCCCCAAAAGTTCACCAAAGATTGCCAAAGAACGATAATTAGACAAGGTGACCGACCACTCAAAATTTAACTCGCTGCCCGAAAGCCGACTGGTTATCCCACTCAAGAACCAAATGTATTTCTAAAACGAAAGCCGAGCGGTGCCCTAACTAAAAATCAACCTGAACCAGCTCAGTCAGTCGACCCAAGGACTTGTCGTACCAAAGGTCCAGACATGCAAAAAAGACCATAAAATCATGTACAATCCTTTGAAAGTAGGGGTAAAATATGTAATTTTACGTTTTATTCCTTTATCTCATATAAATAGGGGAATAATATCATGTATTAAAGGGCTTTTAGGCTCTTCTCTCTAGACCAGTCTCTCTCCTCTTTCTCTTGTAACCTCTACTTTTAATATATAAAATGGGTCATAGAGCCTGAGAATACCCTAGTTGGCCTCAGAGGGGCTAATCACTGTGCACTCTCTCCTACTCTCTCTCCCTCACGGTGCCTACTACTCCATTTCTTGGGCATGCATCACAGGAAAAATTTAGATTTAACATTCTAAAAGGTATGATGAATGTGGAGCATTCTACTAACAATAAGGAAAGTGACACCAACGAACAACAATACATCACAAAGACACTCATAACAAGGAGATTGCTAAGAAATCTCACAACAATAGATCCAGGATCTGAAAACCTGTTTCTATCGTCTTTCGAGAGGCTTTGGCTCAGAGGTGAGAGCCACAAAATGGACAGTCGGCTCCGAATGGTCTAGACACTCTTAGAGAGAGCCGACCAATGACCTGCGTAATGCTCGGTCGACTCCGGGTGGTTGACACCTAGCTCGGCGAATGAAAGGCGTATCATTTCAAAGTTTATCTTTTGTGCCATGATACATGAATCTTGTAAATGTTTTCTCAGGTCTGGTTTACATTCGGGGAACTAAAGTTAAAGTAGCAATGTCAATGGTAACACCCAAGATGTTCAGTCAGCAGAATAACCCACAATACTTTTGCATTGCGAACCTTGATCTCCAAGCTTGGACTGGATAAAGCTTTGAATGTGGTTCCCTTCCCAATAGCACAAGCTCCGTGAAGGTTATGACACAAATCATCCCAGTATCGAATCTTGGGGGATACCTTTAGGAAGGCAGCGACAAGTTCCGCCTAAAACCTGACAAAACGTGCGGCTCAATCAAGGCGAAACTTTGATCAAGCAACCAAGACCTGAAAAAGTGTAAGACGCGAGTCAAGCGCCAATACTATAAAATAAACCGACAATGATGTCATAGACGTTCGATCGGATTCATAACACGAAATTTGTCCCTCAATGCTAAGCATCAAAAAGTTCATATCTCAAAACTCAATGCGAATAAAGCTCCGACGGTGGTTCCCTAACTAATAGCAACAAGTTTCACGAAAGGTGTGACGCAAATCACCCCAGTAATGAGTCTTAATAGTTACCTCGCGAAGATAACGACACGATCTGCCCAAGTCCTGTGAAAGGTGCAGCTCGACTGAGGCAGACAGTGTAAGACTTGCATCAGCTTGTGACATAAAAAAATGAATGATGATCTTTCCAAAAATTCTAGTGATCAACTGATATCGACATTCATCAACAAGCAATTATCGCAAGAAAATAGTGTGGTAAAGTAATAAACAAAAGAAAGAAATTTAGACAAAAAAATGATTGAAGCTTCATTCATTTTTAAATACCAAAACGTACAAGCTTCTATATAGAAGATTTTACAAAAAAATATATCTTTTCAAAGTTTTGCTAGAAAAATTTTCCTAAGTTCAGGAGGCCGACTGGAGTTCAGAGTAGAAGATCCCCCATCACCTCCAATATTTGAGTCGTCTCCTGAAGATCACTCTGAACTCGCGTACAATGCATCAAATTCATCCAAGTCTGTAAACTTATAATCAACAAGACCTGACCGAATCAACCGATTGATCGTCGTGACACTGCCGACCCGAAGTTGCTTGCTCAAAATCTTCTACTATCGTTTATGGGAGGGAAGCATCTCAAAAAACTCTTCTTCGGTCTTCATGGTCTTCAAGTTGCCTTCAACTTCTGATTTTCTCGTTGGGCTACTGACAAAAGTTGAGACAGAGTAGCAATCTCTTCCACCTCTTCCAGCTTCCATTCGGCTATCACCACTCGCTTCTCCGATTTGTTGACGAGCATAGCTGAAGTCTTAACCCTCTCTGAAGCGACAACCCACTTCATTTCTGCTCGGTCAAGCGCCATCGACTAGACGTGGGCAGCCTCTCGCGTCTTGAGAGGTAGTGGTCTGGATTCCTGTAGATCTTGGGAAATTCAAGCTCCCTTGGAAGCTTAGCAAAGGCTTGGGACTATATAACTTCCACAAATGCAGTAGGTAGACTTCAGCTGACGACGAGCCATCATACCAATCCACCTCCTAGTCGATTGCAGTGTACCGACTGTTAGAGCTGTTCCATACTTGCGCCCCCTTGTTTTGAGAGGGAACCAAGCTACAGTACTGGCTCCAACGCCACGAGTTTCCACCTTTCTTCGGTAGCCACAACTTTTTGAGCAGGAACTATCTTTACCTGGACCTCAGCTTTTGGTTTCATTCGGACAGTTCGAGCGACAACTACCGCCTCTCGCTCAATTTCCTGTGTTAGAGGAAACCACAACTCTTCCATCATTTAGTTGAACAATCAAGAAACAAAACCCTGTTAACAGTCTTCGAATATGTATACTAGGAAACTAACAGAAGCTATCCATCGATTTCAGCTCCCTCAATCTGGGAATAGTCCGTCCCATTCTTTCTCTTGGAGGCGTCCCTAATCGGAATAGTTTTGATACCCCAACTTGAAGAGGAGAAGGCAATGTGGAACGTTTTTTAGCAAGAAGAAACCTTCATTAAACAAAACAAAAGGTTACAAAACTATGTGGCTCTAATATAAGGCAGAGATAGATTACCACCCTATAGTAAAAAAGAAAAGTAAGCACAAGGAACTCTAGATCCAAGCTTTGCATGTCAGCCAGCAGGTTTGTTCCCCTCCCTATAGATTTGCATCCATTTGATAGACTTCCCCTCAATAGTCTTGTGAATAGAGTAGAAAGTATACCTGAGGAACAAAAGGAATATCAGCACCCCTCTGGCAATACTTCCAAAGCACAATTAGGTTATTCCAAACCAAGCAACCAGCAATTTTAACAGCCTCCAACAAAGCAAGGGATTCAGCATGAACAACAAAATTGGGAAAAAGGCCAAACATTCCCCCTTATGGTTTATGAAAACACCTCCCAGCCCAGCTTGTCTTCCCCAAAGCTCCCATCTATATTGACCTTAATCCACCCAACTTCTGGTTTCTCCCACTTGATCGGATGAGGATATACTTTAGGTAAGTGATCCACATTCAAGTTCAGTTCTTGGACCACCTAAGATAGGCCAACCAAATCCACACCTTTCAGTTTACCATACTTGATGATTTTATGTACATCAGCCATGATTTGTAAGTAGGTAGTCTTAGTGGATTCTATATCCTTCTCATGCTTGATGTTATTTCTGGCCATCCATAAGAACCACCATGTGAGCAAACGAATGATGGAGATAATTGTAACAACCCCTACTTCTGGAATCTCCATACATAAAGCCATTCTTCAAAGCTTTTGAAACCATCATTAGGAATCACCACATTAAAATTCCTACCAACCATTTTCCAAACATCAATAGAGTACCTGCAAAATAAAAAAAATGAGTAATGGATTCCTCCTCACTCTTGCACAGTTGACAGCATGAAGGAAGCATGATCCCCTTCAAATTCCAAGCATAATCAGTAGGAAGAATCTTTTGGAAAATTCTCC